ATCACAGAAGATGGCCCGTGTCATCCACGATTGTCTGTTCGCCACGTAGTTTACTGGCAAGATTCAGCAGCCTTTGAGGCATCGAGGCCTCAAGCTCTTGCGGATGACAAGTGGGCAGTGTTTATCAGAACCATCCATGTTACTGCAGAGAAGCAGTCTCACGTTTCTTGCTGCGTTTCCCTCCACCGAATGCATGGCCCTTTATATGCAGAGTCTTTTTCGGAAGCAGTTCATAAAAATGTCTTGTCTCGTCCGCATTATAAATGTCGGACGAGACAGTAGTCTTTTAGTATGTCCAGAAAAGCAGACGATGCCCAAGTCACTGCACCATTGGCGTCTGTTGCCGCAGACTTGCCGCACAACACTTTTCCTACCATGTCATGCTGGGCTTTGAAACATGTCAGCCAACCTGTGCTCGCAACAATGTCCTCAATGCCTAGAATACAAACAAAATTCAGTGCTTTTTGCTGTAATACACATCAGCTGATAGGCGTATCTTCTTGGCACGCATGTCAAGAAACCGAGTGTACAGTGCCTGTTGGAGATACCCATGTGCCGAAGATGTCTACTTCTTGCGCTTTGTGGATGCCCCTGCCGAAATAGCACTAGTGACCACGTCCTTCGCCTTCAAAATTGTGGATGTGGACAGCAGGCTGTTGGAGATGCCGAATTGTGCAGCAATGTCTCCTTTTTTTCTGCCGGTTGAAGCTTCGCTGATGATTCGCGCCTTTACCTCGAGAGTAAGAAACTTGCGCTTTGCTGCCATGATGGCGCAGAGTTCTACATACGTGAGCACACAAGCACGAATTAAGCGCAATGATCGGCTTGGCTGCTTAAGTAACAGATGATCACATGGCCTGGCATGGATACGTGTTGGCTGTGGCTCTGCCTTGCCAAAGCAGGACAGCGCCGCGTCGCAAGGCAACCAGCCGCATCGTAATCACCACCAATCAATGGCGCTCTCCATAACTTTGTTTACAGGCGGTGCAGCGTGCATTGGCCGCACATTTTCGGTGAAACAAAGTGTCATCAATGTTTGAAAAGTTGCACAGTTGGCGACGTGCTGACTTAACCATCGAACAAATTTTCAATCCAAGCGCCGCTGAGCGAAAGTATCGTTGAAGCGAACACAAGCCCGAAAAATGTTTCGTTGTAGCAAGAGCTCTGATGCATTGACTTCTATGGCAAGCCGACGGGGAATAAGAAATACTTCGTTGAGGCGGAAATTTTGTTAAAGCGGCGTTCGTTGCAGCGCCGTTCGACTGCACCGCTAATAGTCAAAATTTCATTGTGAATCGAATACTAAACACTATTTGAAGAAATATTCGGAAGTTCGACTATTCACGCACCCCTAAAAATTGCCCTTGAATGTGCTCCTAAGAAATGTGAAAAAATATGCGATGAAATGTCTTCAGGAGACACACTTCAACCTTGGGTTTGTTTGATTTGCTGGCACCGATCTGAACTGGTTCATACTGGTGCATGGCAGACTAAACTAATAGTTAAAATAGTAATTTAGTTGAATAATTTTGAACCGGGTAGATAGAATAGCACATACCATATATTATAAAGAAAAATAGGCTATCTTCTCAAGGCCAAGGTAACCTGCACAATATTTCAAGAATTGAAACAAGGTGTGTGCGAATGCCACCTTATTGGTTCGAAGCTGAGTGGAAGTAACATTGAAAAGTAGGAAAACTTCAGCAGAAGTAGGATGAAAATTATAAGAGTCAAAATACATTACTTTAAAACTTGCTATGCTGATCACACATAAGTCTGCATAACAAGCTGTGTGAAATAATTGATCGAGGTGAAGGCAATTTGTAGATTAAATGGGTACCGACACAAAATCTCATGGCAGAGATGGCCTACGAAATCTATATTCCCGTGAGAATGTGTATATCATCTGCAAAATATCAAGAGCAACTGGATCTTGAAGGGCATTTTAAATTAATTTTGAATTTCGCATAAGCGATCGATTCCCTCATACAGTTGACAACCTCAAAGGTGACACTTGGCGACCCCCCCACTTCCTTGATGCGACCACACTTCAACAAGTTATGACAACATAATAGCTTCGATTTCTCTTTTATCACATTTCTACCAGCAGACTATTCCTCGGCAGCTGCTCGTGAGTTCATGGCCACGGCGCACGCATTGACAGTTTTGCGTTTGGAGACACTGCTGTCTCGTTTACTCTTGGAGAGCACTTCTAGACGCGGACTGCGGGAAATGCGTCCCAGTTCTGTGTGCTGAAGCAGTTGAACGTTGCATACGCGAAGTGGTGACAGTTTCACTCGGCAGCTTGTTGTTTTGGAGCACTCTCATGCCGAAACGAAGACTGGTAGGTAACAGAGAGCCTGTAATTACCCGTTTTATGCTACAGCAAACGATGCACTGCGTTACAACTAGCAGGCCTCCGGCAACAGACTGCAGCACAAAAACATGAGGCCAAAATTTTTCTCTCGGTACCCCTTTAAACCTGCACGTGTGAGTACGCGGCAAGCGAATTTCCTCCGGATAAGAGGTTTCAAGGCATAGCAGTTCCATGACATAAGAAACGACCTTGACAAAGGTGCTATATGCACTCAAATAACAAGCATCTGTTGGTCCACTAAGAATAATTAAACATTTCAAATTTAGGTTTATGTTTCAGTGAACTTGAATACACAATAATCGTTTGAATATTCAAAGCATTTAATTATTCGCCTATGCCTAAACGAATTTCCTCTGGAGCAGTTTGGCACATTAGGCGGAGGCCTCAGCTCAATGGCCACAGTAGTGCCATGGATCCTCATTACACATACAGCGGCGTAAAGAAATACTCTGGTTCAGGGCCGCCACTTTTCTTTCAATGAGGGAACGCCTCCACAGTAGTGCCATGAATCCTCATTGCACATACAGCGGCGTAAAGGAATACTCTGGCTCAGGGCCGCCACTTTTCTTTCAATGAGGGAACGCCTCCACAGTAGTGCCATGGATCGTCATTGCACATACAGCGGCGTAAAGGAATACTCTGGTTCAGGGCCGCCACTTTTCTTTCAATGAGGGAATTGTCTCCTCTATTTTAGCAACGCCAGCCAGATGCGCCCGATCCAGCCATTTACCACCCCCTCCACTAGCCCTTTTCCGCTCTCGCCTATCACCTAGCCTTATCGTGTGCTTTGCGGTCATGTGGGAGAGAACCGCTCACAAACCTCACCACAGTAACCATACAAAGTCATTTTTTGTTCAGTTGTTTACAGATCCGTGGGGCAGCGTCTTCCATTCCTCGTGCACGCAATACTGGTGGCTCTGTAAAAAAAAAAGGTGTTTTGAGATAGTGTGTTGCCTTTCGTGACGCTATGCGGGCAACCATTAAGGAAGCGCCACTGCAACGCTACTGCATGCGCTGCGCTGTGATGCGGAGGCGGCATTGCTTCGAGCCGCCAAAAGGAGCCCGAAGGAACAAGTCTGACAAATGTACGATATTGGAGTGGGAAACACATCTATTGCATCTCCAGGGCAAAGCACTCAGAAGCACATGTGATGCAAACAGTGCTACCCATCATGTAGCGTTACATCATAACCACTGCTTGAGGCAGCTCACGCTGAGAAGTGCCCATTTTCACCGGCACTGAAAGAAATAAAGGAGGCGTAGGTTGAGGCATGCCTTCGACTAGAGTTACCCCATTTGTGCCTATCATAGCTGCTCTTAAGGTTCTTGCCCAGGGTGCTTCTGAGACTTGCGCTACAAGAAAGCCTGAACTTTAGAAAATGTGCATGGCAAGGAACCTCTTTGGTGGCACTAATCACCGACGACCTCTACTAGTGGACTCACTAGAGTGGAGGCATACTATCACAGGGTGACGCCAGTGAAGAAGGTCGCGATCTTGCTGGTGGAGATGAAGCTCTATAGCGGGCAAACATGTGCCCGGATAACTAAGTCTTGACTGACTTGTGGGATTTACAATCCTAAACCCACCGTATGATTATAAGAGACGCCGTAGTGGAAGGCTACAGAAATTTCAACCACATAGGGCCCTTTAACGTGCACCCGAATCTGAGCACACAGGCGTACAGAATTTTAGCTTCCATTGAGAATGCAGCCGCCGCAGCTGGGATTCAATCCCACGACCTGCGGGTCAGCAGCCAAGTACCTTAGCCAATAGACCACCTGCGGCAAAGTCGACTAACCCCTGTATTCAGAAACGCTGCTTGACTTGAACTTTGCCACCGACTTCAATGCAGCACAAATGCGTTTCAAATGCACTGTCTTTAGGCGGTGCCAAGGCAGCGAAACGCATAGACGCATTTCAAATGCACAGCGTTGAAGGCGGTTTCAAGTCAAGTTCAAGTCGAGAAGTGTTTCTGAATACGGAGTAAGTCTCCTTATGTACAAACTATTCCCTCCACATAGCGATTATAGTGGCGATCAAAGTCAACAACCGTTGACAATCTGATCATTGGCAGAACGCATCACCCATTATATATAAGTGGTCAAACCTTCCAATGTTATCACTGATGCTGACGTAATGTCCCACATAAACTTGGCTATTCACGCACTGAGCATAGTCTTTCAACAGAACGCTTCTCATAATAATACATATATATTCACAATAATTTTGTGAGCTTATACATCTTAAAATTATAACATAATTATGAGAGATGACTTCCAATAAAGTTCTTACAGACCAACCAATGGCACAGCTAAGAGCACCGAAAGTTTCGACCCCCCTGGAATTTTTCTATGTGCACCTAAATCTAAGCATACATGTCTCTAGCAATAGGAATCTAGCGAAATGCAGCTACCATGGGCGGGAATCGATTCCGTGACCTTTGAGAAAGTCCTACACCACTGTGGTGGCGGATACTCAAACAATCTCAAAGCGTCCCAAACAATGCAGGGCGGCGTGCGGTGCTAACAGCTTTTCGGAGTGAAACACAAAGACATCCAGTAAAGAAGTAAGTGCACGTGGAAATTTCACCCTCACGAGTACACACAGCCCCCCAGCACCTACCAGCATGCGGTTTTCCTCGGCGCTCCAATGCAAAGGTGGGGTGAGGTACGGGTCCATCTCCTTGTTGGCTCGCTTGATCTTCTCATCTTCGTTCATGGGCGCCCGCATTCCATTGATGTCCCTGAAGTATGGGTGGTGGAACACCAGCGAGTGGTACCAGTTTTTGCGCACCTTCGGCTTTGCGGGTCGTGCAGATCGCTCGGAGAGCTTTGCCAAAAGTTCCATCCTCAGCTGCCTGGATTGGCCACACCAGGGAGAGCGTGAATGCAAATGAGAACACTAGTGCTTGGCACTGGCGTACGCACGAGCACTCTTCGAAAATCCCTATAAGATGTTTTCGAGCAAACTGAAGAAACTAGCTTAGACAACGATGTTATCAAGAACACCTCTGCAAAGCTGCCTACCTAGAGCTAGCCCCTGCTACTACAAATACTACCCCTACTACAATCAGGAACACCACTGTGAAACCGATACTTGCTACTTACAAAGAAGGGAGTGACGTTTTATTTTATTGGAGCATAATTTGGAGACGAAAAAGTACTGTTTTGGAGCAGCCGTAAGTGTTTTAGGGGCGAAAAATTTGTTGCGTGAAGCAGTTATTGGCGTTTTAGGATCAGCTACAAAATTTGTCATACGCCAATTGGCGTTCAAAGCATCTCGTAAAAATTATTTATTATGAAATATATTTCACAGACAACAAACGTAAATTTCAAGAAGCAAACATTTAAAAGTGACTGGTTGTCAAAAACAAATGAGCAGCAAAATGAGCTATATATTTAAGCTACCAGTACTTGTAGCAGAAATCAAAATCCGGCAAAGCTGAGCACCACATTTCAGAACTAACCACAGTCACACATGACTGTTGCCAAATGAGCAGATAGATAATTGGTACGAGATAAAAGCAATTCTGCTCATTTTCACATTTCACCACACTGGCCCACACGTCAAGCTAAGACAAAAAAAGCAATAAATTGACTCATATGGTTAACATGCCAGTTTTTGTCACATAAACGTGATCAGAGCCGATAATGCTGCACACTAATAGCATACTGGGATGATAGTGTACACATTCCTTTCAGTTTCTTTAGGACTTAGGAGGTGGTCAAACAGTAAAGGTTCATCATTCTTCATATCTCATTGCCATTTCAGAGCAGGTTTGGAGCAATTACTAACAAAAACCCCTGTTTGGAGCAGCATGAAGCAGCATTTCGCACGTTTGGAGCAATTTGGAGCAACACTTTCATCTCTCTAACTTACTACATACCTAATACAGCCCCTACAACTACTTTTTGCTCTTCTGTCTTGTCAACCAATGCTGAATTTACAGCAACACCAGCTCTGTCAAGCTACAATGATTAACCCTTTTTCTTCTAACTCCTTTTCCCACTCTAGCTAGTTTCCAAATCCGTACCTGTTCTCTTCTAGCCTTTCTGCCAACTCACATATGGCGTTGTCGAGCAACGCTTGGTAGGCACGGTTGAGTGACAGGAGGCTTCGGAGGTCAGTTGGCATCTCTGCAAGGCTCGACCCTGGGAAAACCAAGAAGTGATGCCAACGATGAGCACAACACAAAATTACTTGGACGAATGGCACTGCCTTTCAAGGTTATTATAGTCAGGTACAGCTCTACAAATGCCTCCTCAACCGATGAATTCCAATGCTAGACCGCATAGTGCAGAGTCCAAGTGGATGGCTTACAAGGCAGCATCACCAGAGGAATGGAATGTGTCTGCGTGACATTTTGCGAGACATGACGCCACGTCGAGTTGACAAGAGAAAGCTAAGAATATTCGGTGAAATACGTGTGCTATTGACCTCTTTTGAGCTCAAATGTAAGAACTTCAATGTGCCTCTGATGTAGCGTGCAACAAATGCTGGTTGATGTTTTCTTTCGAGCTGGCGACCTACTCAGAGTTTTTGGCCTTCTGTTTGACCGGCATCTTGTCTAGACGGCAAAGTATTTTGCGTCGTATTTGTCTCCAATGCCATCTTCCCAAAGCGGCCTATTTTGCTAGCTACCCGAGTACTGCACTATCCACTTAGCTGTTCGTTCAGCCATCTACGGTGATTACTGGAACACACCATCGTCAGTCTAGGGTGCGCACTATAGACTAACAAAATGTGCGCGCACTCTAGACTGACATGAGTGGAAAGACAGGGGGGCTCTTAATGTTGGAGGCGACGATTGAGAACACGAAAGGGATCATTTCTCGTGATTGAGACAAACCACCGTCGCGACAGCAATCGGCTGCTTTCGACATTTAAGTGAGGCCTCTCCTGCCTTCTTAAGTAGTAGCAGACTACAGTGCTGTCAGAAAACGTAGCCTGTCCAAGATACCAGTCATTCGGCTGTTAACGCACTCAGTCGTCCATGATTGCGTCTGAGCCTGACAAGCAATAACACTACAATCAACATTAAAACATTCACATGGTAGTTGACAAGGGTAAATCTTTCTTCAAAAGGCTTCCAAGGCCTATAGAAGGTTTGCGCATCCGTCACAAAACTTGCTATGTTAGTGCACTGTACGGTAGTATGCATTGTTTGTGACGACTAGTTAATGTCATCGTTACATCAGTTGTAGGTTCTCTTGTTTTTCACACATAGAAGCCAATATCATAGAGGCTGCATCATTATCATATTGAAGCAGATTAGCCGCAATGCGATCATACTGCCTTCACCGTCATCCAAGACCCCATGATGGCAAACAAGAACATTATGAAGCTCTGTCCATGGCATCATGTGCAAGCTATCTGTAGTTGGACGAGGGAAAAGAAAAACTTGTGTACAGAGACCTAAACCCCAGCTGTTTGTATTGTCAAGCAATGCATATTGCAGCAATGGTGAGATTGTGGGTGCTTCAGGTTCAGATGGTAGTACTTTCCAGTAGCATAGCCAAGAAAGTGGTTCAACTCCTCCCCCCCCCCCCCCTGGCTACACAACAAAATAAGGTAACCCATCGCAAACCTTGAATTAGGGTTCTTATATTATGAACAACACTTTGATTTATTTACATGCATACATCACGGAGCTCTTTTTTGATAGCTTGTCTATATCAACACCATTTCTTCTCTGTAACTGGTTCAACAGTGATGGTAGATGGTAATGACCCATTTGCTTCTCATAGTTTGTGCGACATCGTGCCACTTGCCACTCCTCTAAGTTTTGGGTGTTGTGTGCTACATTTGTTTTCAGGTTGGCTAAGTTTTGTAAGGCATTGTCTTGGTCTTTTGTGAATTGCTTATAATAACGATAAATCCTATATTCATATAGTGATTGAACTCGAACAAAACGCAATTTGGCAAACAATTCAGCTGTATGTGACAAATAGGGCACCTTGCAAGTTAGTCTAATATTTCGTTTTTGTAATAGAAATAATTTCATGATATTTGCATAAGTGGTTGTGCCCCACAAGGGAGGTATACATTTACTCTGCTTCCGTCCAGGTTTCCACAAGGTCGCTTTTTCCCAGTATCTTACTCTGGGGTGAAAGGTCTCGCGATTGTGATTGTGCTCCTGGAGAAGGCTGGTAGATTCTAACGTAAATGAACGCGAAGATGCTGATGCCAGCAGTGAAGCTCCAGCGACTCGCATCAGAATGCCCGAAACAGACAACCGACACAGTACAGCGTCAGTAAACTCGTGTTGCATGCGCTGGCAGTTCTCGTCCGAGTTCACGCATTCTGAGAAATTGATTATGGTGCACTATGCTCTGAAGAAGACAAGAATATATTCCTTCTCGAGATTTTGTGTGGTACGAGGCTGCTTCTGTTCCCGCCGGTGTAAGTGCTGCAAACATGAATGCACGTGTCCTAGTTAGAACAGTGGCATATGTGCTGCACGGTGAAATGTTCTGTACAGTTCTGAATCTGTTGGCCTAAAGGGAAGTGACGACTGCACGCTTGCAAACAACAGAAGACGCCTTGCCACAACGCTATCGTTTCAGGTGGCACAGTGACGAAAGACACGATAAAAAAAATAAGTAAAACGAGAACATCGCACGTTTTTGCGCGTATTGAAGTTTTCTAGCGCAAACAACCCAGCGAGGAAGACATTTCCATGTGTGTAGCTATATAGTCTCATGATTCATACAAGGTACATTTTCGTTTGAGACCAACTGACCATTTCTCAATAACGATTACTTTGCCCTGGCAGGCTGCATAATAAAGCCACTACTTTTTTTTTGCATAATACAACCTCTACGATAGGAAATCCTCAACACTATCGAAAGTCACAGTGCAGCTGTAATGTGAACCAAGGTTGCCAGAAAATCTGCCTAATAAATAACGCGTGCGAAATCGTGCTGCTAACGTGCCGCATAATTTACAATAAAAAAACTTATTGTATATTGCAAGCATGCTTGATGCGTGCAGTAAAGTAAAAAAAATGTTGACTAAAACCTATCACTGCGCCAAGGCTGCTTGACATTAGAGCTTAACATAAAAATGATTCTCATATACATCTCACAAACATCGACAGTTAGAAATTATCTGCTCAGCAAAGTAAGTAAAAACTGGATATATTTATGAATGTACAAAAACATGCGTATACCTCTCATTCTTCGTTGTAAGCAGAGCCATCCTTGACTTGCGAAACGCACTTCACCATGACGAGGACAATGCCGTTTACGTTTAACAGAATAACAATTAACAATGTCTTCTCCGATTAGGCGGATCGTCGCAATTATACGTTTTTGAAGACTTGTCCATTCAACGATGTGACGAAAGGCCGTTGCTCCAAACGGTCACTCTACCTATCGTATACACTCGCCGCTGTGGTCTAATGGCTAAGGTACTCGGCCGCTAACCTGGGGTCGTTAGATCGAATCCCAGCTGCTGCGGCTGCATTTTCGTTGGAGGCGAAAGAAAATGCTGTAAGCCCAGTGTGCTCAGATTTGGGTGCACGTTGAAGAACCCCAGGTGGTCAAAATTTCCGGAGCCCTCCACTTCGACGCCTCTCTTAATCATATAGTGATTTTCGGGCGTTAAACCCCACATATCAATCACTCGATTACCTGTCGTTCACTGTATTTTACTGTGGTTACTTTACTTTTACTTACTCTCTTCAACACATGGAGAGTCTCACGACCTTGATATGCATGTACACTATCTCCTGAAACTACCGCTGATAGTCACGTCACAGAGGAAAGCTGATGCTTGTGTGTCCCACTATGGAAGCAAAAGGCAGGCGGCGACTGTGCAGAAGAATGTTGCATGCTGCATCACAGCTAGGAGCTTGCTGTTCGCCTTGAAAAGGCGACATCAAAGGCGCGGAAGCGCCATTTTGGAGGCTTCCTCGCCCCTGCGAAGCTGATAGGCGGCCATGTTGAGCACTGCAATGGAGCTAGGACCAACGCCTCTTAGAAAAACTATGCCTGGATCGTCGCTCTCTTTTCAATTGAAGCTACCTGCCAGCACAAAATCTCCGAGGCCATGCCTCCTGCCACGCCCTCCTGCCACGCGTTGGGACCGTCCGTTACGTAGGACCGCTCGCCTCCATACAGCTCAGTCACGTGACATTACCGTACCGCTCTATCACGTGACATCACATCTGCTTGGAGGCAACAGTGAGAGCATTGCTGTGTTCGCAGTGGGCGGCCGCAACAGGCGTTCACCTTCGAACCGGAGGGGAGGGTAAAATCCGAGGGTAGGGCGGTACGTTCGCTACTCACATTTTAGGTATAACTTTTCTAGGAGGCGTTGCTGGGACGAAGAGGAGCCATCTTGGCCTCCCCCCCCCCCCCCCCTGAGACGAAGAAGAAAGGCCGCCTTGTTGGCGTGAACCGGGAACGAATGGGCGCCACGAGTAGGAGGCCCCACAGAAAGTTGCTGCACCCAACATGGAGCAAACTGCTCTAACTGCACGCGTACAAGTTCATCCTCTCGCGCAATCGAGGCGATGAACTTGTACGGGCGCAGGACGCCTGCGTCGTTACAGGCCAGCAGGAGTTTCAGGCCGGTGTGGCCAACGCCTTAAGCAGCAAGGCATTCTGCCGCTCTGTCTTGCGGGCGTCTTCCCCGACAGCATCCAAGTGTGATGCAGGTTTAAGGTTGATTCAATTGTTGCTCGGTAAAAAAGCCTCAGAGCTAAGAAATGACGAAGCCGTTTAAAGTAAGAAAAGAATAAGTAGAAACATTAAGCATAATTAAGAAGGAAAAAAGATAAAGTTGCAATGTACCCACACCGAGTCTAAGCTGACAAACTAAGGCATGCCCTATAAGTTGTCCAGCTATAATATTTGTAAAGATCAGCAGTCACCGGTGGTGTGATGGTGGCGGTGGCTTGAGGCGGCAGATGCTGGCGATGTCTTAGCAGCTGGAGTCAAGCGCTGACCAGTACGACCACGCTTGGCGAAAGACCAGGTAGCCATTGCCCTCGCAAGAACTGCGGCTGCTTACCGACGCTGGCTCATTCCGCGAAGGTGATCACCACCCGGAAGGTTCCGCCCTCCACGGGCGGTTCAGGACCGGAGTCGAGACATGGATTGCTGGGACGGGACCTTGAACAGTCATGGCCGGAAATCTGGAAGGCCGCGTACCTCAGAGTACACCGTGGGCAGCTGGAGCGTCCTTGCCTTGCCTGACTTCACGCGTTTTGGACCGGAACCAGACACCGCAGTCGCGGTGACGGGTTCCCCAGGATCTTCCCTCCAGCCTGCTCGATCTCGTTCTGCCCTCGACTCGTCTTCGACATTCCTGTTCTTCTCTCTCGTGACTTGGCCGCGCAACCTTTCGCGCAAACTTTTTTTTTTCCTTTTAGCGAGCCGCAGTTTCATGTGCGACGTTTTGCGCTGACGTCATGAATTTCCGCCACTCAATCGAGAAGCACCACTGCCGTCGTCTCCGAGGCCATTTTACATAAAACCACAGTGCCACCACACTTGAAAGACACCACCACGTCACTATACTACACCATACACCACACCACGTATGCATCGAAAATGAACTTCCAATCAGCCCAAGGGATCGGCGGATCCTCGGGCGTGGAGAGAAAAAATGGTGGAGGTATGCGAGACGCCATCGCAACCGGAAAAACTACACCAAACGAAAAAAAGAAAAGAAACCAAACACGAAATGAGAAACGCCAACGCCAAAAAAAAGTATGCAGTGTTCACAAATAGACGCGGAGCCGCTCGATGACGAAAAGGTATAGGAAGTGCGCCGTCGCTATGAAGAACAAAAGAGCGATGGCGGGAAAAAAACAATTTTAAATGTCACATTCTTGGCCGATCCTCCAAAGTGGGTACATGCGCAATATATTGTAGAAAAACAAGCATACGCCAAAGTAGCGTCGCAAGAGAATGGAATCTTCGAGGCAGACCAGAAAAAGAAACTACGAAAGAAATCGTAATTCATTTAGTCTTTGAGATGAAACAGTCGTAGGTGGCTGCCCCGGGCAGAGTCGGCGTGTTGCAGCGCTTCGCTCTTCTTGTTCGTCGGTGTCGCGACCACTTCAACCCCGACACAACAGGCATATCTTACGCTGTTCCTAAAGGAAATGTGCTCGGTTACGGAGTTCGAATTGGACACAGCGCGCGCTCAGTGTTCCAAGCCTTTTTGTTCATTGCATACGCGAAAATGCCGAATAAACATAGCCGCATCAGCCAGGGGCCGCAAGGAGCAAGGGGGGGCGCGAGCCCCCCTCCCCCCTGAGGAAAGTTGGGGGGGGGGGGCTGAGCCCCCCCCCCACACTTTCAGCAGTAGTAACTCATGGCTGCACGCTGGGGAAACCAACAAGTAATGCAAAGTTTTCCGTCACAACAGTAATAACTCAATTATGTTCTGACGGGAGCAAAATGTTACGAGGCACTGTTAAAATAGGGAAATTTTGCCTGGCAACATTTCCGCAGTGATTATTTTCCTTGTAGGTTCTTTGCGGTGCGGGTCGCCTAAGCGACGTTTTCACGGCTTGTGCTATAGTATTGCAGAGCAGGTAAGCGCTGAATGGGGGCCCTATAATTTTGCATCACTTGTTCAAGTTTTTATTCTGCTGTGACTTGTTGATGCAATTATGGATTGGAACGAGCAAATTTTTATGGACCTGTCAAATCATTTGCAGCTTCTGGAAAATAATTTTCTTTGAAAAGGGTTTATCATCCTTGCTGCTATGTCGAAGCTGTTGCGAGCCGTTGAGTGTGACGAATCGTTTTTGATGTTTAGGTTTTTCCGCACTGAAATGCAAAAAACTGTTTCTGAGTCTAATAAACCTGATCAGCATTGCTTATGATAACTTAGAAGTTGGAGCTATAGTGGCAGTAAAACGGGAAAGAGTAAAACATGGCTTTACACAGGTAATTTAATATTACAGAGGTATTGAATTGAATGAGGGTTTGCCAAACGTATGCCATTTAACGTGCATATATGTATCTTCGTTGACACTTGGTACATCTCCATCTCGACGACTAACATCCATGATAAATGTATTGAACAAGCTATTGTGGTGTCCGTAGAAGTTTACCGCCAAAGCATAATGAGAGAGAGAGAGAGGCGTGATAGCAAGGTGAGTGTCGCGTATTGAATGCAGCAATTGGGCTAAGGGCGCCATTTCTTGGCCTCGGTCTTTAAAGTTTGATTGAACTTCGTGGTGCCTAAGAAAGCCTGTCGTGTCACCTCTGTGTATGAAAATTCATATCAAAACAAGAACGTGTCAATGAAGTTTTCTTTCTTGATATATATATAGCTGTGTGTGTGTGTGTGGAATGAAGATTGTTTCTTGATTATATATATATATATATATATATATATATATATATATACATACACACACACACACACACACACATACATACATACATATATATACATACATACATATATATATATATATATATATATATATATATATATATATATATATATATATATCGGTCTGTGTATGAAGTTTTCTTTCTTGATATCTCTCTCTCTCTCTCTCTGTGAGTAGGTGGGGTACGCTGACAAGTCAGGTAGGTTTGCCCCCCCCCAACTCGCGAAAGAGTTAGTACGCCACAGGGTATAAAACGCTTCTGTCATGGATCTGCTTACACAATACACATTGACCAACTTTTGATGAAGCACTGGCCAAAATATACAAGTCTACTTATTTGAACCCTTCAATTTAGCATTGACTCACGCAGAATGCAGCTAAGTACCGGTAAAGGTGAGACACCATTTCCGCCTTTTTTTTTTCTCAACGAGCCAGCTTCGCAGTTCTCAGCAGAGTTTTTTTTTTTTTTAAGAAATTGAACATTGGGCGAGTTGATACAAAGTATTCAGAGATTTGAATAGTGCGAAGGCCACAGACGAATACATGACACCGCGCACTTGACATCAGCGCTCACAGCGTCCAAGCAAAAGCTTCTCTCCAAGTCGATGAGAAAGCGCGGACAAACATGGTATCATTATGAAAGGTAGGACACAGTTTAATAAAAGCTTTCACTCACCAATGAGCGACTCCTCTTCGGCAGGGCCAAGAGGGCGGCCCGGCGAAGTGGCGACGTCATCTTCTTCCAAGTACTCTTGTTCCATGTCGGATTCATTTAGGTGTTCAGTGTGAAAGTCGTCACCGTCAGATGCGAAGTGTTCTGCAATGCAAAAAGGACGTAACCCGTCCGGCAAGTCATCGGCGACTGTCCGCCTACTATCACTTGCCATGGCCTACTATCACTTGCCATCCTAATCCGGACAAATGATTCGTGAACGCACGCTGCACACGCTCGCACCAGAAAACCGCTCTCTGGAGCGGGAGATTCATACAAAACATAGTGTGGCACTACTTTGACGATCATATATTGCCGCTAAGAAGCGCTCGTTGTAGAAAGGGTGCAGAAAACACAACTTGGGGACATAGAGCAACCACCAAACAATCTGAACTACGCATGAGAATATTATATTAGAACAGAAGGCAGCAGAAAGGGGGTGGTATTGGGGCATTCATTCATAAACGTACAGACTGGCAAAGGGTCAAGCAGGAGTGCAAGGAACATTTATGGCTAAAAGAGAAAGCGGCAGGGCAAATGACCCTCCTGGGTTTTGTATACTTGTGGATAGGGGCAAAAGCCAGAGAGGAAAATCAACAAATGGTGCAGTTCATAGAAAATGACATTGGCGAACTAGGAGAAGAGTGCGAGGTAATTATATTAGGAGATATGAATGTGCACATAGAAGATATGGATGGATATACTGACGCAACAGGCAGAGTGCTAATGGATATGTGTGAAAGGCATGATTTAACCATTTGCAACAGCACCGCAAAATGCGAGGGGCAGATAAAGTGGGAGGTGGGAAGGCTGCAGTCAACGATAGATTACGCAATAATGTCACATATGATGTATGATCGGCTAAGGGTGATCAACATAGATGAATATGCGTCCAGAAGCTTAGGTAGAGATCACAAACGATTCAAGCTGAGTTTTCGAAGAGAAATGAAATCGGAAAGGTGGCATTACGAGCAACCACACGGTAATATTTATTCAGAAAGGCAAATAGAAATAGCAACTAAAATACTGAGAAAATAATCATCGAGGATACTAGAACAGAGTGGACGTACACAAATCTAACTCTATTGTTTGAGATAGAGCTTGCTAAGGAACGAGCCAAATCAACCGGCAAAAGCAGACTGCAACAGCTGGTGAGATGAGGAAGTCAAGAGAGCCATATATAGTAAGACGTCAAGAAGCCTCTATGGAACACAGGTATGCTAAAGAAAGGGGTGAACCGGAAGATGATGTCAAAAGAAGATGGAATAGCTTTTTGAGCTGCAGAAGGGAAGCGTACGATTTGAGCAGTCACAAGATTTGAAGAAAGGGGGCCCAATGAATGGCGGAAGTAAACAAAAAGGACAGAAAGGCAGCTGCAAAGTTTTGGAACCATCCCAATTCTCTGAGCAATAAGACAAGCATGAAACAGAGGTTTATAACTACAGTTCAAGGGGCCAGACTAGAAGGGGATGAGGCAATGAAATTTATAAAAACAATGATGACAGAAAAATTTAAACTCCAAGAAAACGCTGCAAGCACCGTACCAGATGAGGATGGACCAATTAGCTCAGTGGCTCCACTGGGACGAGAGTGGGAAAGGGAAGAGAAAACGGTTTTTAATAGCACATCAACAGGCTTTGACGGCATCCAAATCATGCTAATAAACAAACTAAGACCAAACTCTAAACAAACATTAAGAGACACAGCGAGCAAAGCAATAATGGATGGTGAAGCTCCCAATATGTGGAAACTAAGCAAGATAAGCATGATCTATAAAGGAAAGGGGGACAAAGCCGATATAAACAACTACCATGCTATAGCAGTGACCTCAGTAGTTTACGGGCTGGTGATGCAGAGAGTAAAGGAATAACTACAGACGTGGGTGGAGAATGAGGGGGTGCTGGGAGAACTACAAAATGGCTTACGTAAACGAAGGAGGTTGGTGTACAATCCGTTTTCATTGATGCAGTGTATTGAAATAGCAGAAAAGGAACACAGGCCCCTGTGGCTGGCATTTCTAGATATCAAGGGAGCTTATAATAGTGTGATTCAAGAAGACTTGTGGAGAATAATGGACACGCTAGACATGGAAGATGGAATAACTACTCTTCTAAAGGATATCTATAAAGGTAGCAAGGTAGTTATCCAATGGGAAAAACAGGTATCTGAACCTATAGAGATACAACGCGGGCTTCGACAGGGATGTTCCTTGTCACCTTTGTTATTAATGACGTATTTACAGGGACTAGAAGCCAAATTAGAGGGGAGTCGACTCGGCTTCAGCTTCTCTTTTGCCAAGCAAGGAAAACAGAATGAACAGTCATTGCCAGCCCTGATGTATGCAGATGACATAGTATTAATCGCCAACAACAATGAAGACCTGCAGGGATTGATAGACATCTTTAGTAATGAGGGAGATAGGTTAAATTTGAAGTTCCGCAGGGAAAAATCGGCAATCATGATTTTCAATGATAATTTAATAATGATGGTGCACGCGTGTGTGTAAGCTGACAAGTGGGGTAGGTCTGCCCCCCCCCCCCCCCCTCACGAAAGAGTTGGTACGCCACTGCGTATAAAACGCTTCTGTCATGGATCTGCGTACACAATACACAATGATCAACGTTTGATGAAGCACTGGCCAAAATATACGAGTCTATTTATTTGAATCGTTGAATTTAGCGTTGACTGACGCCGAATGCAGCTAAGCGCCGGTGAAGGTGCGACGCCACTCCCGCCTTTCTTTTTCTCAACGAGCCAGCTTCGCAGTCTCAGCAGCGTTTCTTTTTTTTTAAAGAAATTGAACATTGGGCGAGTTGATACGAAGTATTCAGAGATTTGAATAGTGCGAACGCCAGAGACGAGTACATGACACCGCGCACTTGACATAAACGCTGACAGCGTCCGAGCAAAGGCTTCTCTCCAAGCCGATGAGAAAGCGCGGACAAATATGATATTATTACGAAAGGTAGGACACAGTTTAATAAAATCTTTTACGCACCAATGAGCGACTCCTCTTCGGCAGGGCCTGGAGGGCGGACCAGCGGAGTGGCGACGTCTTCCTCTTCCGAGTACGTTTGTTTCCCGTCGGAGTCGTCATCTTCAGACGTGAAGTGTTCGGCAATGCAAAGAGGACGTAACACCTCTGGCAAATCATTGGTGACTGTCCGCCTACTACCACTTGCCATGGCGTCTTTGCATACAGTTTACGGTCCGGTACAAATCGCTGTCCAAGCACCACGCCAATCCTAATCCGGACAAACGTTTCGCGAACGCACGCTGCGCGCCAGAATTCACACGAGAACCGCTCTCTGGAACGCGAGAGTGATTCAAAACATAGCGCAGCACCACTACTTATACGACTATTTCATATCGCCGCTAGAGTGCGCTCGTTGTAGGAAGTGTGTATCGCTACATTTTAACAAAACTTGAAATTCAGCCAGATGGCGCATTGCTATCAGGAAATTTTGAGCGCAAACTAATGCTTCCACATGACGTTCACAAGCATCTGTCCTGTCTCTCTCGTTCTTGTTAACGTCTTGTTTGGCGCTCACAACTTTCCCAATCGCCACAATTATTCAAGAAAAAAAAAATGGCAGCATATCCACGGAGTGAATGATGGAGAGTGGGGCGAAGCATTCGTCCGTCCATGCGTCCGTCTGTGTGACCGTCCATGCGTCTGTTTGTGCGCCCGTCCCTGCGTTTTTTCATGCATTCGCCCCTGCGTCCGTTCATGCGTCCATCCATGCATCTGTTTGTGTGTCCGTTCGTTCATCTATTCAACACTCCAAGTCCCACCATCTCGCATCTTTTTATCATATATTCCCCATATAGAAGCACCGCCATCCAGCGGACATTCCAAGGACTAAACGAGAGGTGGCACACGCACACTTTCTTACGGCCTGCGCTTTGGGTCCACTTCCCACCTTTAACCACCTCGAGTTCATGGTATATTCTAGTTCACTGTATTCATGGCACTGCGACCAAACGCTCGCTAAACCTTTCGAAAACCAAGGAGGTTACGCCCAGCGAGTATAACGTAGCAACCTTTCCCTGTCAGATAGGGCTCAATTTACATGCCAATGGCTGCTAATGAGAAATGAGAGACAGGAGAATTCGGCTTTTACTTTCTTACGGCTTGCACTTCGTATCTACTCATTTTTAACCACCTTGAGTTCACTCATGGTATATACAAGTTCATTGTATTCATGGCACTGCGGCTCAACGCTCGCTAAACCTTTCTAAAGCTAAGGAGGTTACACCCAGCGAGTATAATGTAGCATCCCTTTCTTGTCCGATAGTGCTCAATGTACATGCCAATGGCTGCTAATGGGGATCGCCGCGTGCGCGTTGACTAAAAGCCGAATGCTCATGTCTCTCATTCTCCATTAGCAGCCATTGGCATGTACATTGAGCACTATTTTTTATTGTTAAACAACGCACAGAAGAAATCTCTCACTGGCACCACCTTGGAGGTCAAGTGTTATACCTATTTCGGGTATGTGCCACTGGTGGTTACATACGAGGGACGCCCAAGCCCCGCCATAAGGAGCTTCGCCTTTAAAAACTGAAGTGGCATCGGAGGGCACAAGCAGTTCAACGCAATAGAAAGACAAAATTGGTGCTCGATTGCTCGCGAATCGTGCTGCTTTCTCGTCCTTGAAGCCACATTAATAATGAAACTGGAGCTGAGCACTCATACTCCATTGATTAGGTACATAATCATAGATCAAGCTCAGTGTGGATTCCGATGTCACGTAATAAAGATGACCTGGAGTGCCACATGCGTCACAACATGCTGCAGAACCCAATTCCATGCCTTCGTGCTGTCATGCTCGTTTAATACGAACGTTTGTAGATTGGACTACAGAAACAACATTAAAGACCGAGAATTATTTCATTCTTCCATTCATTAGTAACGCACTTCGTTATGCATTCTCCTTTTCCCTGGGAGCAGGTCACGTGAGTTTGTAGCATGAATTAACATAAATTGCTGTTTCTATTTTACCACAGTCACCGAACGGTGTACTCTATAAACACATCACCTGCATTAAACTTCGTGTCAGCACAATGTATACAATGCTCAATTACATCGCAAAAAAAAAAAACGTGTTTCATGCAAAGAATTTCCTAATGCTTCGTTAGATATTCAACCGTTAAAAATAAAATAGCACCACCATGAATGGGATTAACTCCGTGACCGAATTCCAGTGCAAAAAGCGCTTGAATAACTGCACCTTGCAGGTATGCAATATACATTGCATGAGGTTTTAGATGTGTGGTGACTTCATTAGTTCAGGTTACATTGTTTTTGTAGAAATAGCTTTTTAGTCACGTTTACTATGCTTTTTAATGTTAATATTTAACCTCATCAGTCATTTAGTGATGGTCATTTTATTTCCACATCCTTAAATGAGAGTTATGAATAGTTAATGTCCAAGCATTTTTTAAAGATATACGACTGGTTTTTATCAAAGGACCAACCCTAGAACGAGTTCCGGGGAGGGGGGAGATAGTAACAGTCTTATAATTCGAACAATAAAATTTTCGGCTTTACAAGCCGGAACGTCAATACGACAACAAAGCACGCCATCGTGGCAGGTTTTAAATATTCGGAACAATAGGTCGGCAGAATAAATGGAGCCCACATAGACTCACTCAGTAAATGTGTTTTTATCTCAGGACTCGATATACGGCCCATCCTATAGCCGGAATTTCGGTCACATATAAAAATATTTTTCTCTGCAAAACATTTTCGCAATAGACTGCTTTCAATAGAGTAAATCAGCGCGACATTTTTCGAATACACCTGAGATAGTGGAATGACCGATCGAACTTTACGTGAATACCTATAACTTTTCGTCTCCACTGTCTCTTTCAAGTCCGTGTTCTTCCTTTCTTGACATTCAACTTGACAGTAATTTAACAAATCCGCATCATATTGGTTCTATAGAAGAAAATAGCTTGTGGTATACGCATCTTATATAAAACTTGGCCGTGCACTTACGCCCCATCTCATTGTTTTGTATCAATCATTTCACCGTTAACTCTCATCTTACTTATCTTACTTACCTTATTGCCACGTGGTTGCGACGGCAAAGAATATGGTATTTGGGTTGCTCAAGACGACACTTTTTATTTCGTGAACATGTGCCTAGAAAAGTACAAAGTGCTAGAAATTCACGCTTTACGCAGAGCATTGGTCGTCGGTAATATGGTTTGCGCGCAGGTACGTCACCATATACACCCGTGGCATCGAACATCATCCGTAGGTGTCTCAAGCTTATCAGAAGATTCCAAAATAATCTAGAATTTTCGCAGACTGCGAAGCGTGCTTTGCGCAAGGCAATTGATTAATATGAGGTGTTTAACGTTTCAAAACCACCATATGATTATGAGAGATGCCGAAGTGGAGGACTCCAGAAATTATGACAACCTGGGGTTCTTTAACATGCATCTAAATCTGAACACATGGGCCTACAGCATTTTCGCCTTTATCGAAAGTGCAGCCGCCACAGGCGAGATTCTATCGCGCGACCTGCGGGTCAGCAGCCGAGTACCTTAGCTACTGAACCACAATGGCGGTGTCTTTGCGCAAGACAGTGACATAAAAATACAAGCGAAATGGCAGTATAATAATGTTGCGATAAATCTTCAGCAGATGCGACAGGCTCCACGTGGATGCTATTTTCATACAGAACCCTCAGCGGGTAGCCACGCGTTGCTAGGTGAATACACGTCTTTGGGTATTTTTAGAAGGCTAAATTTCTACCTAAAACATACGGCGTGACGACAGCACTCACGACTGTAAACTTTAGCGAAACGAAGTGCACGCTTCGGTGGGATGATATGCATATTATTAAGATGCTGTTGTGTATTCCTCAAAGGTTGAGAACATCAATGGTCGAGCGAACCTTCACTATCACGTGCTGGATGAAAGGAATATATCTATGTAATGTTTACAGCCAGCCTATAGACCGCAACTGACGGTGTGGGCCGACATCACTCCTGTAAGTCTATCTAGGGTTGTATCCGTTACAGTAAAAAGTGACTAAACACGTTACTCCTTACCCTAATAAAAAAGGGGGAACGTTTCACGGCTCCACGTTCTATATATACATAAAAAAGGTAACGCATTACCATTACCGTAACCAAAAAAAACATAACGAATGTGACCTCTGCCGTAGCTCCGGAATCATCAGTTTTAATCAACGTGTCTTTGCTGCAGAAACCCACAATGAGAATTTTTAAATTTCAAATTTATGTTTCACACATACTAACCCAAGCAAGGATTATACTCAATGTTCAATTAACGAGAATTATTTGCACAAATGTGCTGAACCTTAGCAATATTATATAGAGGCTTAATGACGCCTGCCCATGTGATGGCTTCTGACTCTGCAGTGACCCAGGGTGAAACCATTTTTTTTTTCATTGGAGCATTATACACAAAGTGAGGTTCGATAATCTATGGTATTCACAAAGAAGCTATCATTGAACTCTAAAGAAATATACAACAATCGGCCTTTTCTTGATCCTTCAGCACCTTCAATAAAGCATGCCGAGGAGGAGGAGGAAAAAACTTTATTCAGAGAAAAAAAAATTGAAATGCAGGCAGTTTGGTCGGGCCCTCAGTCCAGGGCTCCGCTGGCACGGGCGGCTCGCTGGACCTGGTCAAGCAAAGCTATTTGGCTCTGCTTGTCCTCGTCCGCAAGCCATGCCTCCCTCTGCCTGTGAAACATGTGTGGTTGCTTCGTGATGTGTGGGCTGTCGATGTGTGTGGGCCTCTGGGTGCACTCCCATGTTATGTGGCTGAGTGTTGGTACTTGTGAACACCACGGACAGGTGTCTTTATATCTTGCGGGATATATTCTACTTAGATGGTACAAATTGGGAAAGCTATTGGTTTGTATGCGTCTCCAATCCCTGCTTTGCTGGCTATCCAAGTCCTTATGTGGAAGCCCATATTCCTTTCGTTGCTTCCTTTGTTGGAGGAGGATGTCACGCGAATTGGAAAGAGGTTCAACGTCGTGGCCTGCCGTCGCTCGGTTGGTGATGCCTCGAGCTATACGGTCTGCCACGACGTTCCCCTCCAAACCTTCGTGAGCAGGACACCATATAATGTGATGGTCTCCTGTTATGGGTTTATTTAAAAATTTATACGCTATTTTAGGTAGCGCTCCTCGGAGAAACATTCGGCATGCCGCCTGTGAATCGGAGAGCACAACCACTGATTCTTCCCTGATTTTTGCGTTGGATATGGCTATGGCTATTGCTGCCGCCTCTGCCACTCGTGTGAAACAAGTTT